CATCATCATTGACATTCACTACCAACATCACCATTATTTATTGCACACTTACTATGTTTTTTACATATATTACCTATATAAAGTGTATGAAGTAAGCATTATCTTTGTTTTGCAGTTAATGGAACCAAAGATATGTGGAGATCCAAGTTCTAATTATACTTAATTATCACTGTTACAAAAAAATTTTATAATATAATCTAGTGTTCTATATGCACATTTAATTTTTTTCTTTCATTTTTATTGCCATAGATACTAAGGTTTTCCAAGTCCTAGTCCTTGTAAGTAAAAAAAATTAAGAGCAATTCTTTTCTCACGTGGGTTTGCCCTTTATTTTTCTATCAAATTCAGACCTGGAATTATATTAATGATACGTGTGAAAACCAGTTTGACTTAGGTGTTTAATTTTCACTGTAGACCACTAATCACTCAATCTTTTTTGGATTATGAATCCCTTTGTTAAAGTGATCAGTGCTATAGTCCCTCTCTATGGAAAAAAGCACACATGCACAAACATATAAGATATACAATATAATTTCAGGGAATCCATAGACTTCCTGAGTCCTATCCATGGAATTCCTGATCAAAAGGTAAAATATTTAATTATATCACATATACATTCAGGTCAAATTTGTATTGATTGTTGGTTTGTACTGATATAAGTGAAATCAAGCTGATGTAAATAGAGGGTAATGAATTTTTCCCTAACATTTTTATTTTACTGTGATTATAACTCCTTCCTTCCTTCCTTTCTTCCTTCCTTCCTTCCTGTCAGTTTTTCCTTTCTTAGTAAGGGTAACATATAACTTACTCCCTTGCTACTCTGGGTGTTTTGGAAAGGTGTTTTTTCTTCCGTGTTCTCATTCTGATGTATCATTGTTTCAATTTATATGTGGGTAATTTCCATGCAGGAAAGACTAAGACAATAAAGGCATGAACTGGATATTTACTTTCGTGAGACAAGAAATTTTCTCATTGTTGACAGTTGGTTTAGGGTTTTCTGTTACTTGCAACGAAAATTGAATCAAAGATTTCTGGATAGTAAGATCTTTTGATATATTTTTTAAAGCAGTGAACTAATACTCCTAATTAAAATTTCTCCTCTATTCTAGGTGTGCCATCTACTATTGTTAACTGGATTTTTTTTGGCTTTAGAATAAGGAATGACATAGTTATATTTAGGATGTCCCCCACTAGATAGGATAGACTGGGAGAATACAGCAGACTCAGTGCCAGGCTTACTTGCTTGGATCTGCTCCTTTGAAGTAGGCATTGACAGTTTCTGTAAACGCTGCTGCAACAGGGAGGGTATCCTGGGCTCCCATGGTTAGGGGGCTGGGTCCCCTGGAAGAACCTGCATAAAATGAAAAGCTTCCATTTATTATGGACATAGGAGTCACGTTAGCATATATGAAACTAAAAGTCCATTCAAAGACTAAGAGATAAAATCTATCTCTTAATATTAAAAAAGTGCTAAGAACAAGTTTGTATATTCAACATAGAGCTCAAGTATTTAAAAAAAATATTTGGCTGGTTTACAGACAAACACACTTGAAATTAATTCAATTACGTATTTTACTACAGAAAAGAAAATCCAAGCAGAAGAACGAAGTCACAGGGGTTTTCAAATGTTTTGCATAAAGCATAAGGCAGTATTTGCATGACAGTTTGTACAGCAGGTGGTTAATAAAGAAAATTATTAGTTCCCTATTCGAGCAGTCAGCCCAGTCCATTGCCAATACTCAAAACTTTTTTCCCCGTTTCTTCATTTCGAAGAGGCAAATATCCAAGTGGTGTCACAGTACACGTTGTTCTTTTGTGGATTATTTCCACTTCAAAAACTCCAATTACTGTCAGATCAAGTAAATTCATGTTTACATGTCCCAAAACATACACAACCCAAATGTGCACAAACACATAAATGCACTAATTCACACCATCAAAAATGACAGCAGCTCTGGTGCTTATTGAACACCCGGTACCCACCAGGCAGTACCAAGAATTATCTCATTCAAGTGCCACATCAGCCCCGTGGGACAGGCATGGTGATTCTCACTTTATAGAAGAGGTAACAGAAGATCCAAGAGGTAAGTGACTTGCCCAAGATAATATAGTTAGTTAAGTGGCAAAACAAAAATTCAAGCCTAGATCTGTCCCCCTATAAAGCTCATGTTTTTCTCACTATACCACACACTTTACCTAAATGAAACATTTTCCCATATTGTTTTGCTGTAATTTGTAGCTTCCAAAAGGATCAAAGTTTAGGATTATTGTCTTTGTTATTGATCTCTAGGCATGGTACCAAAGAGTAAAGCTTTAGTAAGTAATTATTAAGGGCAGTATTAATGATGTCACATGCTCACTACTTTCCTTTCCTACCAAACAAAACACATTTACTTCTCCCCAGCCCTGGCATAGACTACGTACTTTAGGGTTATGCTTGTTTTCTTTTGCCTTTTGTAACTTTTGTCCTCTTCTCTAACTGTGAAAAAAATCTACCATTTTTATACTTCCCTCCTCAGTAAGGCTTTTCTCAATCATTCTAGTCATGCTAGTAGTCTCTTTTCTATCTTTCCTTGGCTTTCGATATCTTGGATTTGGTAATTGGTCATTAATTTAAGAAACATTTGTTTAATATTTACTATGTATCAGGCACTATGGTAGGTGCTGGGGATTCAAAAATAAATTAAACATAGTCCTTGTCCTCAGGAAGTTACAGTTTAATGTGCTAATTGCATCGCAATCATCATCATTGACATTCACTACCAGCATCACCATTATTTATTGCACACTTACTATGTTTTTTACATATATTACCTATATAAAATGTATGAAGTAAGCATTATCTTTGTTTTGCAGTTAATGGAACCAAAGCTCAAAGAGTTTATACTACTTGCTTGGTCCTGCATAGCTGGCATGAATAAAATTTAAGATTGATACTCAGGTATGTATGCATTCAAAGTTTAGGCTCTGAGGACTGAATCATTTTGCCTCCTTAGTAGGCAATTACGGTACATTTGAAGGCAAGCTGACAATGACATTACCATTGGGTAAGTCTTAAGTTGAAGCACGCATGTCTAAGTCTGTGCTGCCCACAGGACTGCAAGTTTTTAAAAGGAAGAAACTATGGCATGAGCTTGTTTGATGGGACTTCTACAGTTCCTAAAACAGAGCCAGGATTATATTGACCTGTCATTAAATGCATGTTGAATTATCCACTGTTGGATCTCAAAAAAGTAAAGTTTATGCACATTTATAAATAATGAAGGCACAGTAAACAGAAGCCATTATTCTGTGATACTGTTGCTCAGGGTATTTGCTCACTCATTAGTTCCAGTATTTATTGAGTGACTACTAGATTCTGGAGAAGAACAGCTTCCCTAACTGCTGGTTAAAACTGGGCCAGAGTGGTCAGAGGGCTGCACTGTTACCATTATATCCAGGTCACAGCCACCATGTAGCTGGAACTTGGAGTTGGTTGGGGAAGGGGTTAGATAAATCTACAATGAAATAATTAGAGTAATTTGATTAATGCTTTAGAAGCATGGTATGAGCAAAGCTCTATGAAAGCACTTAATGCTGCTTGGATAGGTTAGGGAAGGTTTTATTAAGATGATACTGGATCTGAGGTTTAAGGATGAATCGGCTTTCATGAAGGGTAGAAGGAATAAGGCCCAGAATTACATATGTGTGGAGCTGAGCAGACACATGTCATTCTGAGAAACCACAGGAAGTGTGGTGTTGTTTGTGTGTGTATGTGAGTACGGTGGGTATTGAAGGGTAAGAATGGAAGTGGATGAAGTTTAGGGGTTAGAAATTAGCGTGTGAAGAGTCTTGTATAAATATTTAGGAAAATTTGTCTTTATAAATTATTTAGAGATGTTAAAATCATAGTTCTCTTTTGATAATCTCATATAAATCTATGAATATTTTTCAGAGCAAAGTTCACATATATATAACATAATTTGAAGTAAAATTATAAATTTCTTGAGGTCCCTGGGGGTCCTGGAACTCAGGTTAGAATACCCTCTATGGAAGACTGAAGGCCTCAGATATATTTGAAACAGGAGGAGTTCACAACAGGCTTGAGTTTAGATAACACTAGCTATACCGTGGTGGATACTTTTGTGAGGAAGACAATAATGTAGGTGAGGATTCTTAGGGGAAAAAAAGATAAAACTGATGAAAAATGCAGATATTAGCATATAAAGGGAATGTCGTGGGCATAATATTTTTCAATTCTGCAAAGCATTTAATAGCCTTTTATGATATTCCTGTGAATAAAATAGTCAAAGCTTGGCGGATCATACTCTTGCCAAGTAAATTGACAAAAAGAGGAATCATAATATCCAATGAGCATGAATCAATGGTTGTATAATATGCCCATTGGGAAGGAACTTTCTAGTGGATTATATCAGAGATCTGTCCTTAGTTTAGTGCTTTGGGTAAAGTGAGAAAAAATGCTCAGAAATGGCACATCGTAGTGGCTAAGAGCATGGGATTTGGCTTCAGACATACCTGGGAGGAGCCCTGTCTCTGACACTTGTTATCTAAATTATTTTGGTAGGATTCTGTCATAATACCCACTTTGCAGGCCTGTTCTGAGGATAAAATAAGATAAAACATTTATCATAGATCTTGGTTCATAGTATACACTCAATAATGATTAGCTGTTTTTATGATGATTATCATAATTTAAGATAATATATAGGTTATGCATGACAGATTTATTGAAAGTGCTCCAAATTTTCTTAAATTTTTGGGATACTGAGCTGGAACTGATATGAAAAATATCAGCAAAAACAAATATGAAATTCATATACAGCATAATTAAAAAGTAATCAAACAATTGTGGCTTGAGGAAAACTGGCTTGGTGGAAGAATATGTGACAAAAAGCATCTGAGGTTTTAGTTGATCATCAATTTTCTATTGTTGAGTCCCATGGATGAGTAACAGACAGATCACTAGAAACGACAGGGTTTTACTGCTTTTTGTTTGTTGTTGTGCTTTGTTTAAAATTCATCAGATGGCAATCGGAAGACCTATCTACAATTTAAAGACCAAACTCTTCAGTGTAATGCACAAGGCCATCTCGAGGCTGCTCCAGACCCATCTTTCCTGACCCCTCCTTCCACTCCTTCCAACAGCCCTGTTCTCTAGCTATGTTCACTTTGGGCACTATAGTCCTTATTGTAGATGTAATCTATGATGCCAGGGAAGCAGAAACACATAAAACAACAAAAATTTACAAAGAACCCTTATACCTTACAGGATCCACAACTCTTAATTTCTTCACATCCCTATACATTGCAACTAATATGCCATTTTGTATTTTTTTGACACTTATAACATGATTTTCTTTATTGCTATTTGTTCTACATATTATTTTCCACAGCTATATTTTATTCTACAAACATTCTCCAAATGTTGGACCATTTCTCAGTAGTAATCTAAATCCATCTTTGTATAAATTGGTTTCCTTTTCCTATTCATTTCCTGAGGATATAGTTTTATTCCTACAACCAAACCAAAAGACAGATCAACTTTTAATTACTAAGAATGCCAGGATATTTTACATAAAGACTATTCCCAATAAAAATGCTATTAGACATGAATGAATGGCTTCTGTTCCCTCATAGTACTTCAGGGAGTCTTTGTTTAATAGGTTTATTGGAAAACTGGGCTAAAACCAGAAAAGTGTCCAAGATGGTGAGAAATTCAAACCTCTTGGCCTAAGAGGACTAAGAGGGGACTGAAAACTGTTTTCTAATATCTGAAATAATATTACCAGACAGCGACTAAGGGGACCAGAGTTCAAGGCTATGGATTTGCAAGTTAATAGCTTTGTGACCTTTGGGAAGTCAATTAACCTCAGGTCCTCTCAACCATGAAAGGCAATGGACTGCACAATCTCTGTGCTTTAGGATCCTATGGTTTTAAGTTGTTTATAGGCACTTAAATTTTTTACAGTAAAAACAGTGATATCACTATGAGATTATTTCACTGCAAGACTAATTGCCAGATGAGTGGCACAGAGGATGCATCTACACGACTTAACAAAAAGAGCCATATAGACTTGGGTGTGAATGCTGGTTCTTCCGCTTACAATCTGTATGACTAGGAACAATCTATTTAATGTCTCTAAGACTCACTTTCTTCATCTTTAAAACAGTATAGATAAGGATAGTATCCACCCATTAAAGGCTTCTGGTGAACATCAAACAGGATAATGTTAGTGAAGTCCTTAACATGGTGTGTACTCGAAAACCATATTATTATTATTATTGTTTTTGTTGCTGTTATTTTGTCAGGGTGAGCTTCACTAGCTTTACTAAGGTTTCTGAATTAAAGTT